TTTTGAATTCAGTTTGCTAATATTTTATTAAGTATTTTTGCATCTACATTCATCAGGGATATTGGTCTGTAATTTTCTTTTTCTGTGGTATCTTTGCCTGGTTTTTGTATTAGAGTGATGCTGGCCTCATAGAATGAGTTTGGAAGTATTCCCTCTAATTCTACTCTTTGGAAAACTTTAAGGAGGATGGGTATTAGGTCTTCACTAAATGTTTGATAAAAGTCAGTGGTGGAGCCATCTGGTCCAGGAGTTTTGTTCTTAGGTAGATTTTTGATTACCAAATCAATTTCATCACTGGTAATTGGTCTCTTCAAATTTTCTGTTTCTTTCTGGGTCAGCCTTGGAAGGTATTTTTCTATAAAGTTGTCCATTTCTTCTAGGTTATCCAGTTTGTTAGCATATACTTTTTCATAGTATTCTCTAATAATTCTTTGTATTTCTGTGGTTTCCATAGTGACTTTTCCTTTCTCATTTCTGTTTCTGTTTATGTGTGTAGACTTTTTTTTCTTGATAAGTCTGGCTTCGGCTTCATCTATTTTGTTTATTTTCTCAAAGAACTAGCTCTTGCTTTCATTGATTCTTTCTATTGTTTTATTCTCGTTTTTTATTTCTGCTTTAATCTTTATTATGTCCCTCCTTCTACAGACTTTGGGCCTCATTTGTTCTTTTTCTAGTTTCGTTAATTGTGAGTTTTGTGCATTCATACGTTTTTTGTTTTTTTTTTTATGTAGGCCTGTATAGCAATGTACTTTCCTCTTAGCATGGCCTTTGCTGCATCCCACTGATTTTGTGGTGTTGAATTATTATTGTCATTTGTCTCCATATATTGCTTGATCTCTGTTTTTATTTGGTCATTGATCCATTGGTCATTTAGGAACATGTTGTGAAGTCTCTGTGTGTTTATGGGATTTTTCATTTTCTTTGCGTAATTTATTTCTACTTTCATACCTTTGTGGTCTGAGAGACTGGTTGGTACAATTTCAATCTTTTTGAATTTACCAAGGCACTTTTTGTGGCCTAGTATATGGTCTGTTATTGAAAATGTTTCATGTGCACTTAAGAAGAATGTTTATTCTGCTGTTTTTGGGTGTAGAGTTCTGTAGATGTCTGTTAGGTCCAGGTTTTCTAATGTGTTGTTCAGTGCCACTGTCTCCTTACTTATTTTCTGTCTGGTTAATCTGTCCTTCAGAGTGAGTGGAGTGTTAAAGTCTCCCTAGAATATATGCATTGCATTCTGTTTCCCCTCCCCTTTTAATTCTGTTAGTATTTGTTTCACATATGTAGATGCTCCTGTGTTGGGTGCATAGATATTTATAATGGTTATATCTTCTTGTTGGATTGACCCCTATATCATTATTTAATGTCCTTCTTTATCTCTTCTTACTTTCTTTGTTTTGAAGTCTTTTTGTCTGATACAAGTACTGGAACTCCTGCTTTTTTCTCCCTATTAGTTGCATGAAATATCTTTTTTCCATCCCTTTGCTTTTAGTATGTGTATGTTCTTGAATTTAAAGTGAATCTTTTGTAGGTAGTATATAGATGGCTCTTGTTTTTTTATCCATTGAGTGACTTTATGTCTTTTGATTGGTGCATTCAGTCCATTTACATTTAGGATGATTATTGATTGGTATGTACTTATTGCAATTGCAGACTTTAGATTTGTGGTTACCAAAGGTTCAAGGTTAACTTCCTTATTATCTAAGAGTCTAACTTAACTCATATGCTATTACAAATACAATCTTAAAGTTCCTTTTTTCTTCTCCTTTTTCTTCCTCCTCCATTCTTTATATATTAGGTATCATATTCTGTACTCTTTGTCTATCCCTTGATTGACTATTGGGATAGTTGATTTAATTTTCATTTGCCTAGTGATTAACTGTTCTACTTTCTTTACTGTGGTTTTATTACCTCTGGTGACAGCTATTTATCCTTAGGAGCACTTCCATCTAAAGCAGTCTCTCCAAAATAAACTGTAGAGACAGTTTGTGGGAGGTAAATTCTCTCAGCTTTTGCTTATGTGGAAATTATTTAATCCCTACTTCAAATTTAAATGATAATCTTGCCCAATAAAGTAATCTTGGTTCGAGGCTCTTCTGTTTCATTGTATTAAATACATCATGCCACTCCCTTCTGGCCTGTAAGGTTTCTGCTGAGAAGTCTGATGATAGCCTGATGGGCTTTCCTTTGTATGTGATCTTATTTCTCTCTGACTGCTTTTAATAGTCTTTCCTTATCCTTGATCTTTGCTATTTTAATTACTATATGTCTTGGTGTTGTCTTCCTTGGGTTCCTTGTGTTGGGAGATCTGTGCAGCTCCATGGTCTGAGAGACTATCTCCTTCCCCAGATTGAGGAAGTTTTCTGCAATTACCTCCTTGAAGACACTTTCTATCCCTTTTTCTCTCTTCTTCTTCTGGTACCCCTATTATACGAATATTGTTCTGCTTGGATTGGTCCCACAGTTCTCTCAATATTCTTTCATTCTTAGAGATCCTTTTTTCTCTCCTTGCCTCAACTTCTTTGTAGTCCTCTTCTCTAATTTTTCTCTCATTTATCGTCTCCTCCACCATATCTAATCAGTACCCTCCATTGTGCTCTTCAACGATTGGATCTCTGACTGGAATTCATTCCTGAGTTCTTGTATATTTTTCTGTACCTCCATGAGCATGTTAATGATTTTTATTTTGAAATCCCTGTTAGGAAAATTCATGAGGTTGATTTCATTTGAATCTTTCTCGGGTGTTGTATTCATAATGTTACTTTGAGCCAGGTTTCTTTGGCATTTCATATTTGTATATGGCACCCTCTAGTGCCCAGATGCTCTACTCTCTGGAGCTGCTGCTCAGCTCCTGAAGTAATCTCAGGGTTCTTAGGGGAGCGGTATTGGTGCCTGGGGGAGGAAAGAGCTGTTTCCTGCTTCCCAGCTGCTATTCCTGCCTCCACTGCCAGACTCAGAGGGCCGACCACACAGGTTTAAGTCTCTATGCTTTGCAGTTTTAGTTGCTGTAGATGGGGCTTCCCTCTGGCTGGCCTAATGTCAGGGTAGGGTTTGCTGGTTTGCGAGCCACGTGGGGCTGGCCGCAAGAAAGGCACAGTAGACTTCATATCACAGAGGGGGTCCTTTGAGCTGTGCAGACAGCCAGGGAACTGGAGCGCTGGAAGAGCGAGAAAGTTCCCAACCTGCTTGGCAAAATGCACCAGGACAATTTTGCTTACCTGTCCTTTCTCCTGAGCAGTAAGTTCTGTGCAATCCTTGCCCCTTTAGCAGCCCTCTTGCTATTAGGAAGTCTCTCAGAGTGCCCGCCTTTCTTTTGTCCCAGAGCAGCCGGATATGGATCCCTGCTTTTCACAAGTGGCTGGAATCTCAGTCTCTCTAGGTATTCTGCCTGTATCAGCTTTCCGACCCCCTAATCATGAGAGTACTGTGAAAACACCATGAAATGTAGGTTTATGCTCCCTGGCAGATCTCCAGAGTTAGGTGTTCAGCAGTCCTAGGCCTCCACTCCCTCCCTGCTCTGTTTCTCTTCCTCCCACCAGTGAGCTGGGGTGGGGGAAGGGATTGGGTCCTGCCGGGCCGCAGCTTTGGTTTTATTATCCTGTTCTGTGAGGTTTATTCTTTTCTCCAGATGTATGCAGTTTGGCATAGCCTTCTTTCCTGTTGCTCTTTCAGGATTAGTCATATGAATTATATTTTTGTATTATGTGTGGTTTTAGGAGAAAGCCTCTGTCTCACCTCTCATGCCATCATCTTTAGTCTGTCTATATTGGATCCTTTAATTTTTTAAAACTACTTTTCTCTCTTTTTTTCTACCTTTTATTCTTTCGGTTTTTCTTGGGTTCAATTTTTCAAATGTCCTGGTCAATTTTTATCCTATTCTCATATTTCAATTTTCATGCCCTTCTTTTTTATTGTTGCTTTTTTTTTACTCTCTGAATTTTTTTTTAATATTTTAAACCTCTGCACATGGATTTCATATCATTCTTATCCCTAATGATGTCATATGTTTTGTAAGCATTCTATTCTCTATTCTGCCTGCTTCTTGTATTTTATTTGTGAATCTTAATTTTTTACATCGAGGCTTTCCACATATTTATGAGTTTGGTGTTTCCTACACCAGATAATAGGAAGCTAAGTAGACATTCGGCGTTCATGGTAGGGGCTTCATTGATGTTATGTAAAGACCTAGCCAATTCTTTAAGGAACTATAATGGTCAGATTTTTCTTGGGAATCGTCAGCTAAGAGAGGAAATCTCCAGCCTCTATATGGGGTTTTCCCCTAGCTACCAACATTCTTGGGGCCAAATTAGGGACAAGAACTGGTCATCTTTGCATCTAGTATTTAGGAGTTGCCCTTGATATCAGTGTGGTCCTAGGGCTTCTTCCTACATCCTGCCTGGTACCCTGGAGTTTAGACACTCCAGAAAGGAAATTAACACGTTTTTTTCAAATTGGGAAGGAAAAGTCACCTGATCGCATAGGGTAGGTGAAGGAATCTAAGGTTCTATCTTTTGTTTTATTAGCTTTTCACCCAGTCCTCCGGGTTTAGCTCTACCAGTATTCCAGGTCCCCACATTCTGCTGTTGCCAATTCTTGAGTTTCTGTGGGATTCTCATAAGGTCATAAATGTGCCTTCTCTTTCTTGGTTTACCCTTCTCTCCTAGGTTTATTTCCCAGCTTTCTTGGCACTGCTACTTCCGTTACTACTTGACAATAAGATTTCCAGTTTCTAAAAAGTAGCTGACTTTGTTTGCATAGTCCTTTCTTTTTACCTTGAGGTCTTATGCCTTTTTGTCTTGTCTTTGTTTCTTTATTGTCATTTTCAAAGTGAGATTTTAAAAGAAGCAGAGATAAAAATACATGCTCGAAATCATATTTAACTCAGAGTCCAGTTATCCTTTTGTTCTTGACATATTTCATTAATATTTGTGGTATCTAAGAACAAGAGGATTTTAGCTTTTTTTTTCTATGGATGCTCATTTTTTAATGTTTTTATTCCTTAGGATGCCTCATTAATGGACATGAATTCCTTTAGCCCTATGATGCCAACATCCCCTTTATCAATGATAAACCAAGTCAAGTTTGAAGATGAGCCAGATTTGAAAGATCTCTTCATCACAGTTGATGAACCTGAAAGCCATGTTACTACAATTGAAACTTTCATTACTTACAGGATTATTACCAAGGTAAATACTTAATGAACAACTGCTTAAATAAAATTGTTCTCTTTGAACTTTTGGAAGTGCTTTTTATTCACTGTAACTCTTAACATTAGAGATTCTTAGCTGAGGTGACATGTTTTCTGACCATTTTTGGGTAAGACATTGCATCTTAACTGCCCTTCACTTGTTCTGTGAAATCAGTGATATTCAAAAGAACTTGAATAATAATCACCAATCTTTTAGTAGTTGTGATTCTTTTTTTAATATATTTTTTATTTTTTATTAAGATACATTGATATATGCTCTTATGAAGGTTTCACATAAAAAACAATGTGGTTACTACATTTACTCATATTATTGAGCCCCCTTGCCATTTCAGTCACTGTCCATCAGTGTAGTAAGATACCACAGAGTCACTACTTATCTTCTCTGTGCTACACTGTCTTCCCCATAATCTCCACACACACCATGTGTACTAATCATAATACCCCTCAATCCCCTTCTCCCTCCCTCCCGACCCGCTCTCCCACACCCCTCCCCCCATTGGTAACCACTAGTCCCTTCTTGGAGTTTGTGAGTCTGCTACTATTTTGTTCCTTCAGTTTTGCTTTATTGTTATACTCCACAAATGAGGGAAATCATTTGGTATTTGTCTTTCTCCACCTGGCTTATTTCACTGAGCATAATACCCTCTAGCTCTGTCCATGTTGTTGCAAATGGTAGGATTTGTTTCTTTCTTATGGCTAAATAGTATTCCATTGTGTATATGTACTACAACTTCTTTATCCATTCATTTACTGATGGACACTTAGGTTGCTTCCATTTCTAGAAGTCTGATGATAGCCTGATGGGCTTTCCTTTGTATGTGATCTTATTTCTCTCTGACTGCTTTTAATAGTCTTTCCTTATCCTTGATCTTTGCTATTTTAATTACTATATGTCTTGGTGTTGTCTTCCTTGGGTTCCTTGTGTTGGGAGATCTGTGCAGCTCCATGGTCTGAGAGACTATCTCCTTCCCCAGATTGAGGAAGTTTTCTGCAATTACCTCCTTGAAGACACTTTCTATCCCTTTTTCTCTCTTCTTCTTCTGGTACCCCTATTATACGAATATTGTTCTGCTTGGATTGGTCCCACAGTTCTCTCAATATTCTTTCATTCTTAGAGATCCTTTTTTCTCTCCTTGCCTCAACTTCTTTGTAGTCCTCTTCTCTAATTTTTCTCTCATTTATCGTCTCCTCCACCATATCTAATCAGTACCCTCCATTGTGCTCTTCAACGATTGGATCTCTGACTGGAATTCATTCCTGAGTTCTTGTATATTTTTCTGTACCTCCATGAGCATGTTAATGATTTTTATTTTGAAATCCCTGTTAGGAAAATTCATGAGGTTGATTTCATTTGAATCTTTCTCGGGTGTTGTATTCATAATGTTACTTTGAGCCAGGTTTCTTTGGCATTTCATATTTGTATATGGCACCCTCTAGTGCCCAGATGCTCTACTCTCTGGAGCTGCTGCTCAGCTCCTGAAGTAATCTCAGGGTTCTTAGGGGAGCGGTATTGGTGCCTGGGGGAGGAAAGAGCTGTTTCCTGCTTCCCAGCTGCTATTCCTGCCTCCACTGCCAGACTCAGAGGGCCGACCACACAGGTTTAAGTCTCTATGCTTTGCAGTTTTAGTTGCTGTAGATGGGGCTTCCCTCTGGCTGGCCTAATGTCAGGGTAGGGTTTGCTGGTTTGCGAGCCACGTGGGGCTGGCCGCAAGAAAGGCACAGTAGACTTCATATCACAGAGGGGGTCCTTTGAGCTGTGCAGACAGCCAGGGAACTGGAGCGCTGGAAGAGCGAGAAAGTTCCCAACCTGCTTGGCAAAATGCACCAGGACAATTTTGCTTACCTGTCCTTTCTCCTGAGCAGTAAGTTCTGTGCAATCCTTGCCCCTTTAGCAGCCCTCTTGCTATTAGGAAGTCTCTCAGAGTGCCCGCCTTTCTTTTGTCCCAGAGCAGCCGGATATGGATCCCTGCTTTTCACAAGTGGCTGGAATCTCAGTCTCTCTAGGTATTCTGCCTGTATCAGCTTTCCGACCCCCTAATCATGAGAGTACTGTGAAAACACCATGAAATGTAGGTTTATGCTCCCTGGCAGATCTCCAGAGTTAGGTGTTCAGCAGTCCTAGGCCTCCACTCCCTCCCTGCTCTGTTTCTCTTCCTCCCACCAGTGAGCTGGGGTGGGGGAAGGGATTGGGTCCTGCCGGGCCGCAGCTTTGGTTTTATTATCCTGTTCTGTGAGGTTTATTCTTTTCTCCAGATGTATGCAGTTTGGCATAGCCTTCTTTCCTGTTGCTCTTTCAGGATTAGTCATATGAATTATATTTTTGTATTATGTGTGGTTTTAGGAGAAAGCCTCTGTCTCACCTCTCATGCCATCATCTTTAGTCTGTCTATATTGGATCCTTTAATTTTTTAAAACTACTTTTCTCTCTTTTTTTCTACCTTTTATTCTTTCGGTTTTTCTTGGGTTCAATTTTTCAAATGTCCTGGTCAATTTTTATCCTATTCTCATATTTCAATTTTCATGCCCTTCTTTTTTATTGTTGCTTTTTTTTTACTCTCTGAATTTTTTTTTAATATTTTAAACCTCTGCACATGGATTTCATATCATTCTTATCCCTAATGATGTCATATGTTTTGTAAGCATTCTATTCTCTATTCTGCCTGCTTCTTGTATTTTATTTGTGAATCTTAATTTTTTACATCGAGGCTTTCCACATATTTATGAGTTTGGTGTTTCCTACACCAGATAATAGGAAGCTAAGTAGACATTCGGCGTTCATGGTAGGGGCTTCATTGATGTTATGTAAAGACCTAGCCAATTCTTTAAGGAACTATAATGGTCAGATTTTTCTTGGGAATCGTCAGCTAAGAGAGGAAATCTCCAGCCTCTATATGGGGTTTTCCCCTAGCTACCAACATTCTTGGGGCCAAATTAGGGACAAGAACTGGTCATCTTTGCATCTAGTATTTAGGAGTTGCCCTTGATATCAGTGTGGTCCTAGGGCTTCTTCCTACATCCTGCCTGGTACCCTGGAGTTTAGACACTCCAGAAAGGAAATTAACACGTTTTTTTCAAATTGGGAAGGAAAAGTCACCTGATCGCATAGGGTAGGTGAAGGAATCTAAGGTTCTATCTTTTGTTTTATTAGCTTTTCACCCAGTCCTCCGGGTTTAGCTCTACCAGTATTCCAGGTCCCCACATTCTGCTGTTGCCAATTCTTGAGTTTCTGTGGGATTCTCATAAGGTCATAAATGTGCCTTCTCTTTCTTGGTTTACCCTTCTCTCCTAGGTTTATTTCCCAGCTTTCTTGGCACTGCTACTTCCGTTACTACTTGACAATAAGATTTCCAGTTTCTAAAAAGTAGCTGACTTTGTTTGCATAGTCCTTTCTTTTTACCTTGAGGTCTTATGCCTTTTTGTCTTGTCTTTGTTTCTTTATTGTCATTTTCAAAGTGAGATTTTAAAAGAAGCAGAGATAAAAATACATGCTCGAAATCATATTTAACTCAGAGTCCAGTTATCCTTTTGTTCTTGACATATTTCATTAATATTTGTGGTATCTAAGAACAAGAGGATTTTAGCTTTTTTTTTCTATGGATGCTCATTTTTTAATGTTTTTATTCCTTAGGATGCCTCATTAATGGACATGAATTCCTTTAGCCCTATGATGCCAACATCCCCTTTATCAATGATAAACCAAGTCAAGTTTGAAGATGAGCCAGATTTGAAAGATCTCTTCATCACAGTTGATGAACCTGAAAGCCATGTTACTACAATTGAAACTTTCATTACTTACAGGATTATTACCAAGGTAAATACTTAATGAACAACTGCTTAAATAAAATTGTTCTCTTTGAACTTTTGGAAGTGCTTTTTATTCACTGTAACTCTTAACATTAGAGATTCTTAGCTGAGGTGACATGTTTTCTGACCATTTTTGGGTAAGACATTGCATCTTAACTGCCCTTCACTTGTTCTGTGAAATCAGTGATATTCAAAAGAACTTGAATAATAATCACCAATCTTTTAGTAGTTGTGATTCTTTTTTTAATATATTTTTTATTTTTTATTAAGATACATTGATATATGCTCTTATGAAGGTTTCACATAAAAAACAATGTGGTTACTACATTTACTCATATTATTGAGCCCCCTTGCCATTTCAGTCACTGTCCATCAGTGTAGTAAGATACCACAGAGTCACTACTTATCTTCTCTGTGCTACACTGTCTTCCCCATAATCTCCACACACACCATGTGTACTAATCATAATACCCCTCAATCCCCTTCTCCCTCCCTCCCGACCCGCTCTCCCACACCCCTCCCCCCATTGGTAACCACTAGTCCCTTCTTGGAGTTTGTGAGTCTGCTACTATTTTGTTCCTTCAGTTTTGCTTTATTGTTATACTCCACAAATGAGGGAAATCATTTGGTATTTGTCTTTCTCCACCTGGCTTATTTCACTGAGCATAATACCCTCTAGCTCTGTCCATGTTGTTGCAAATGGTAGGATTTGTTTCTTTCTTATGGCTAAATAGTATTCCATTGTGTATATGTACTACAACTTCTTTATCCATTCATTTACTGATGGACACTTAGGTTGCTTCCATTTCTTGGCTATTGTAAATGGTGCTGCAATAAACATAGGGGTACATATGTCTTTTTGAATCGTAGAAATTATTTTCTTTGGGTAAATTCCTAGGAGTGCAATTCCCAGGTCCAATGGTATTTCTATTTTTAGTTTTATGAGGAACCTCCATATTGCTTTACACAATGGTTGAACTAGTTTACATTCCCCCCAGCAGGGTAGGAGGGTTCCTCTTTCTCCACATCATCGCCAGCATTTGTTGTTCCTAGTCTTTTTTATATTGGCCATCCTAACTGATGTGAGGTGATATCTCATTGTGGTTTTAATTTGCATTTCCCTGATATTTAGTGATGTGGAGCATCTTTTCATGTGCCTGTTGGCCATCTGAA